TGAGGAAGTATAAATGATGCAAAGAAGATGCAATCAGAAACGGGAGCTAGACCTGACCAAATCCACAGGGGAAAATCGTGCTAGAGAAAACACATTTTTAATAGCCAATCAGGGATCAACTTTCAAGATATTGGCAAAAGAAGGGAAGATATTTTGTTTTAATCAATAAGTCCATAGTACCCAAAAAAGGCAATTAAGAAGATAATGGCGCCTACCAACCAATATGCTTATTGTTTCATCTCTATAAAATCATTATGGTAATCATCTTTGAAGTTATTCTTTATGAAAACACGAGAAGGGAACAGACAGGCTTGTGCATGTCTATAATAGCCCACATCTTCACAGTCATACAACTGCTTGAGATGTCAAGAATGCAAAGTCTTTCTGTGTTTGTTATTTGTTGATTCCAAAAAAAGCATTTGACTAGGTAGGACGAAGTGTTGCCTTAAAGGTTCCCCCCCGAGTGTTAAGATCATGCAAGAGTCCATTACAAACATCTACAAAGACAACTTTGTTTAATGATCCTCTGAAAATTAACGTAAAACAAGGCACAAAACAGGAAGTCATTTATTCTCTAGGGTTATGGAAAATGTTCTGTGAAAAGTGCAAATAGACCAGGGATTCCCTACATGAGGTAAGAGTGTACAGATGTTCCTGTTTGAAGATGATATTATAATGATTGCATTGAGTCCCCGAACACCACAGGGTCACCTCAGTGAGGTTCATGGTTACTCAAAAGACATCAGTCCAGCCCTTCACAATAAAAAAACCCAATGGATGAAAAAATGCACATTATCCAGATTGTGGCATGCAGTTGGATGAGCAGACCAAAGAGTTAGCCCATCAGTCAATAATCAATAAACGTTTATTAAGCATATACCATGTGCCCTTGAACCATGCTAAGCACTAGGAATACAAATAAGAAAAAAGAAAGTTGCTGCTTTCAAGGAGCTTACAATCTAGTGAGGGAAGACAACACACAAAAGGCTAAAAGGGGGGGGGGGCTGGTGGGGTGCATGGTGGAGAAGCCAGAGAAGTCCCAAAGTAGTGCACCTAAATGAGAAATGAAGAGATGTCTGAGCTGAGCTCCCTCCTTAAATGGAGATTTTAGAGCAGAGCTCCTCCACCCTTTAATCAAAGGGCCATAGAGTAGTGACGAGGCAAAGGAGCAAGGCTGATGGGATCTTACAGGATGATGAGGTTTTCCCAACAATGGGAGAGTCAGTTCATATGGAGAATGATGGCCCCATAAAGAAAAGGAAGATCAGTTTAGTCACATTTGGGAAGTGGCTCTGGGCTTTTCATGATCACAAGCTGCCCCATTTTTTTTCAACATCAATACTGGCAGTAGATGGCACAGTGGCCAGGGCATTGGGCCCAGAGTCAGGAAGACCCAAGTTCAAATCTGGTTTCAGACACTTACAAGCTATGTGATCCTGGCCAAGTCACTTAATCTCTTTCTGACTCAGTTATTCATCTGAAATGTGGAAAATAATAGAACCTAACTCAAAGGATTGCTATGAGGATCAAAAGTGATATTATTTGTATAGCACTTAGCACAGTGCCTAGCACACAGCAGGTGCTAATTAAATGATTTTTCCCTTCCTTTCATCATCCAACTGTGAATTATGGAACAACACACTCAGAAGAATAAAAAGTGTCAACCATCTAAAAGACCAATGGAGACATATAAAGGAACGGTACTACCAACAATTATTTGTTTGAGAAGTGATATATAAGGCATCATCAAAGAGATATATGACCTGAAAATGAGTTAGGACAGTCAGGGTAGTAAAGAGTAATAGGAGTAGAACCTGAACACTGTACAGTATACTGTCTATTAAAAGAACCAAAGGAAATCCACCATCCACTTGAATAGAATTCATGGAGTATGTATGGAAAAGAATCATCCAGGATGAAAACGTATAGATAACTTGTGTCCCTCACCAGTGAGAGGTAGAAGCACTCAGACCCAGGGAATGATGGATCCACTCGTATGCTTGCCTAATTTCCTCTCCATCCAATCAAGAAATAGACAAGGAACTATAGACACAGCACAACAAATCACCTCAAAAAATAAATTACCTCTTACTCTTTTGTCCCCTCCACAGTGCTCAGAACTGTGCCCTGCAGGGCTCAGTACACATAACCATCAGTAAATGTTTGTTGAGTTGAACACAGAAAAGGCTATGCACAGACAGGCACATATAAACATACTTGCAAACATACTCCCCCTTGGGAAATGGGCCTGGAAACCCCTTTGGTTTGGAGGGGAGAGGAAACAGAATCCTGTGAGTCATAACCCCTTCCATGTCAAGCCTGGCTGCCTGTAAACTTCCCCTGACCTTGTACTGAGTCTACAAGGGAGACTTAGTGAATGCAAAAAGCATCACCAAATCTGGGAAAGGCTGAAGGGCTATTACATAGTAGATAGGTCAGACTTGTTCTGCTTGGCCCAGGAGGACACAAATGAGTGAAAGGTGGAAGCTGCAAAGATGATAATGTAAGGTTGGTGTCAGGAAAAACTTCCTAATAATTAGATCTGTTCAAAAGTGGAGTGGGTTGCCTCAAGAGGGGGTGGGTTCCCCTTCAATGGAGGTCTTCAAGCAGAGGCTAGATGCCCACTTACTGGGTATGTTATAGTGAGGTTTCCTTCCAGGTATGAGTTGAACTAGATGGCCAAAGAGAAGTCCCTTCCAACTATCAAATTCTGTAGTTCCATAATTGCTTGGAAGTCAGACCAGACCCCGTACATCCTTTCCCTAACTGGTCTATAACCCACATAAGGTCAGGAGTTTTTAATTTGGAGCAGCACCTCACTACATCGTAGTTAACTGTGGCAATCTCTCAACTCCATCCTCAGAAGATATTCTTAACCTCCATTCCCATCAGAATGTCCCTCATTGGGAGGTCAGGTCCCAATTTTCTCCATCTGTCCAACCCTTTTCCCATAAATGTAGCTGGGAAGGAAAGGAAACCTGGAAGGAATGGGGAAAGGAGGGGAGATAAAGACTAAGGTCAGGAAGGAGCCTGAAGTCTGCAAAGCCATAGGATCTGGAAGCAAGGAGTCCTTGGATCCTCGAGTCCAGCATCTCCCAGAGCCTCCTAAAGGAGAAAATGCCCAATGTGACCCAAGTCTGCCCCCTGCTGGCCACTAACATAGCCAAGACTTGAGAAAGAAGAAGAGCGAGCGCAAGGAGAGGAGGCTTTGTGGGGGAGGAACTGGGGCCCTGGGGTCAGCTTGCCCACCCCAGGCCATACTGACCCCTGGTGGCCTCAGCACATGTAGATATGGACCAGAAAATACGCTGTATTGTATATCAGAACCAGCATTAAATCAAAATATCCCTCCCACTTCCTCAGACCTCAGGGACCACTAGAAACAGCTGGGAGACTGTTCTGGTTTAGGTCCAAAGGAGTAGGAATGGAATGAATTGGGCCTAAGAAGGGTTATGCAGACCTTCTCTCTCAGAAGTTGCTGAGGGACCCAGATGAGCCCCATGCAAGAGAGCATCACTCAGATGAGCTGGTCCAGAAGATTCTATCCAGGTAAGCGTGGCCCAAGATAGTTTGGCTTAGGAGAGACTTCCTATTAGTGTAAAGGATATTTTCCTGGGTTGCTAAGGGACCTCATTAAACCAAATTGCCTGGAATAGGAAGAGGGGATCTGAAGGATAACTAATACCTATTGCACTGTGGGAAAGCCTTACTTGCTTCTGGGAATTGGGAGGGTTTATGCCCAGAAAACCTCACTGAATATCACTAGTATCAGGCCTCAGAAGTGGCCTTCTGGGAGAAAGGGTTTGGGGTTCAGCTCTCTCTCCCCTTTCTGTGCTTGTCTTGTTTTCCTGGTAAGGGGATACAGTGACTTTTGCAGCAGGGGAGAGAGAAAGACATGGAACAAGACTAAAGTGAGAAGGCGATAATAGAAGGCAGGAATTAAATGGAGTCTCCGCAGGCCATCTGCAATTCTCCAATCTTCTCAAACTCAGGAGAAGTCCTGAGGTATATAGTTGAAGAGGAGCCCCTTTCCCTTAGGATTCTAACGACCCAAGAGGGAAGTCAGAGATACTAGGGCAGTCCACACCCTGTGACTAAGCTTAACACAGAAAGCTGGGATGGGAGGAATAAAAAGGGGGAGGGGCAGAGCATGGCAGGAGTCACAAGGAAGCTCAGGTCAATCCAGAGATGGTGTGAGCAAAACAGATCAGACTAGTGTAAATGCCTAAGCTGCAGCATGGTCCAAACCTAGCATCTGATTCCAGGACAGAGTAACTGAGCAGATGTTGTTCCCCTAGCTGTTCAACCCCAGTCTTGGTTCTTGTTCACCACCCCAGACAGCCTCTAAGGACAGCAGGGTCTCTGGATCCATCTGGTTGAAAATTATCACCTTCATACCAGTAACTATGGAGAACTAGAGAGGAGAATTGATCAGGTTTGGAGTGGCCTCTTTCTCCTTGGTGAACAGACCCAGGACTGAGGCCCCCTGATCCTTCTATTTCCTTTCAACAGAATTATAAGGGCCCTACTGCCTTCTCTATGGGATGGAATAGTCTGGACTGCAGAATCCAGTAGGGTCAGTCATTTCCCCTCCATGAGATTGAACTGTGCATACTTCTTCTCCAGCTCAGATACTCCCACTAGATACATTAATGTCTGGAAGGGTCAGTGCCTGGGCAGATGAATACCTGAGCAAGTCAGTGTTCAGGCAAGTTAGTGCCCAGAAAAGTGAGTCCTGGGACAGGTTAGTGCAGGGATAGGTCAATTCCAGCCTGACATAAGTATTGCCCCGGTGACATCCGGGTGTTACAGCCAAATACCATTTATTTCCCAGAAGTGTTGAGGATGGAGAAGAGGAGGAAGGATTTTCATAGTAGTAGCTGGAAACCCGAGCCTGACAGACACACACTCAGGCTAACAGTGAGGCATTCCCCCAACTATAGACCGATTTTCTCTTGGGACCCCAAGCGTCGGGTGGAACAGGGAAAGGACTCTTGTAGTGGAGGAAGAAGGTTCATATAACATTTATCAAGTTAACAAGATGAAAGGCCTGAGAAAGGTTATTCTTCATTTTCTTCAAATTGTCCCAAAAGCCCCAGCTCCTGCTTTGTGTCTTTAAGTCTGCCACTTGGTCACTATCCAATGTCCTTTACCCCTTCGGCAACGCTCCTCGGTCCAAGCATCCCCCCCCCCCCGAGGTCTTGGAGGGGGAAATGTGGACCTTGCCAAGGGCTAGATCTTTGGAGAGAATAGCTGGCTGGGCTGGGCTGCCAGCGCCAGACAGTAAAAAGGTTCAGCTTTAGCGTGGGCTCTAAAGGGTGTGGGTCCAGAAAAGCCTCCAGTGTGGGGTTGGGGAAGTGCATTAAAACAGGTCAACCCCACAAATATCACTTTTAGCACCATACTCGCACCGCCTCACCTTCCCCGCACCGCTGTCACACACACCCCGACCCCTCCCCTCGCACCTCTGCCTGTATTCAGTTAATATACAAAAGCGTAAATTGCTAATATAGTTCCAGGGACACTAAATTGCTGCTCCGACTCTCTATTCCTCCATCTTCACCCCACTTCAAGGGGTGAACTCAGCCGAAGGAGAATAGAAGTGGATAGTGACACGTAAAAAAAAAAAGGCCTGTTTAGCCTTAAATCGCCGCCCCCCCAACCCAGGACTCCTTGGCGCCGAAGTGAAGAAAGTGGGAATTTTCCTTTCCACTCTTCCCGCCTACACATCCAGCCACTTATGGAGAACATTGGTAAAAGGAGGGAAGACATGGTAGGGGGAAGACATAGGGCCGACCCTTCCCTTTCTACAGCCCAGAAAGCCCCAGAGACTGAGGCCCGGGGCAAGGAGGAGATCACACAACGGGCCTCCCCCCCCCCCCCCCCCTTCCCTCTCCCTAGTAGCTCCCGGCGGCCGAAGCCAGGGAGCGCAGAGAGAACAATTTCTCCCAACAGGCAGCCAAGTGTTCCACGGCTCCCAACAGACGCCGTCTCTGGCCCCGACCCCGACTCCGACCCGGGGCAAGGGCCGGCTCCAGGTTCAGCTCTGGCTCCATCTCCGGACCCCGCTTCCGCTCCTGCCACTCCTGGCTCAGCCGCTTCTGGCTTCGCTGACAGTGGGGACAGTGACAAGGAGAGGGTCAGCGGGAGCCCCTGGTGCCCCCCCCTTCTCCCAACCCTCATCCCTGTCCTACATGCAGCCCCACACCGCTGTTCTCCGGAAAAATCGCGGGCAAAGCCGTGAGGGATCCCTGTCCAGATGACCCTTTGAGGGACAAGAAGGCTCCTCAAAAGTTAACTGCGACCTCTGCTCTGAGTGGAGAAGGTCTTTCCTGGGTTGGGAGTGAGGGGCGGGGACGGACCTGATGCAGAGTCCCGCAGTACTCTCGGGTCACTGCCTCAGTGTGCATGGCCACTGTCCACACGGCCTTCTCCAGGGCTCCGCGGCGGCGTCCGGGTCCAGCCCCGGTCCCTGCCACTGCCTTGCGCAGAGCCCGTCCCATGGATGAGATAGACATCAAGATGCGGTGTTCCTGGGGGGCAAGGAGAAAGAGACTGTAGCTGCGATGGGTCTAGTTTCGCCCCGGTCAACCCTGCTCCGCCCCTGCTCCCGCATTCCAGCCCCAGTCCTGGAAGAGTCCCAACTCCTTTCAAACTGATAGGGTGGGGCAAGAACCCTTCTATGAGAAGGGGCCCATCCAGTTACCTTTTCTGCCCGGCAGGAGGCGCCCCCTGCTCTCCCTCGTCCCCGGCGCCTGAGAGCCCCAGTGCCCATCAAGTTTTTCTGGATAAAATCAAAGAAGGAACTTAGGGAGTGACCCTTGCCCCCTCCCCAACAAGCCTGAATAGGGCGTTCTTGCGACCCTCCCATCCCATTCCCAGGAGCAGCCCCCCGGCTACAGTTACTGATCCCACATCCCATGTCCCTCCCCAAGAAAAGCCAGTCCCGGCGGGGTTTCGCTCACCACCGCCTGCAACTCTTCGAAGATGACCGCGCGGTAATGCCGAAGCACGTCGGGCACGTTGCAGTCCCTGCGCCTGCTGCCGCGCCCTAGAGCCGAGCCCAGTATAGCCAGGAGCAGCATACAGAAAGCAGGCTTGGCAAGTACCTGAGTGGAAGCAGGGTCTCGGGGTTCATAGAGGCCGTGATCCAGCCCCCAGCACCAGTCACCTGGAAGAATTCGCCCCTTCTCTGATCTCACCTTCTCCCACCACCACCCTCCATCTCTCCAGGTGGGGCCCAGCACCGCCAGTGGATCATCTCACCAAGTCCATGTGACAGTCAATTCATCATTCCACTCAGTCATACCTCCCCAGTCATAGCATCCTGAATCCTCTCATCCATCCCCTGAAAACTCACAGTGATAGCCCCTGTCACATCCACCCTGCAGCTCTGGGAGAATTTGGAGGGTGGTAGTGATGAAGTCGCTTGCGTGTACTTCTCCTCTCACTGCCTGGTAAGTGCAAGGGTCACTAGAACAACCAGGGAAGTATGTGAGTATACATCCATGGATGTGTTCTTCAGCTGCCATTCCCCTCTCTCCCCAAATCATTATCCTCTCTGTTCCCAAATGTGAGATCCAACTGAGGTCTCTGCTGAGATGCTGTTCAGTTGCCTCTCCATGATCTACTTATTATCAGTATTACTTCCGGATTAACATTAAGATACCGGCCCTCCTAGACCACAGAATAAAAACTGGAAATATGCCGGGAAATTCAAAAGGAATACTCCAGAGATAGATTGGAATCTGGATACATTGTACCCTGTGAATTACCCATGCTACACCAGACTGCCACGGCGCAGTGGATAGAGCACCGGCCCTGGAGTCAGGAGAACCTAAGTTCAAATCCGGCCTCAGACACATAACACTTACTAGCTGTGTGACCCTTGGCAACTCACTTAACCCCATTGCCTAGTTAAAAAAAAAAAAAGAAAAAGAAAAATGGAGATGGGATACACTTTGGTGCCAAATAGAATAATAGGATCCCCTCCCAACACTCCACCTCCAAAGCCAGAACATCTGAGAAGCATCTTTCTCCTGAGTCCCCTCTAAACTAGTCTCCCAACCTACCAGTGCCTCAACTTTTCAATGATTACAGGCATCTGAGGTCATAAGGAGGAGTCCTCTCTTACCTCCAGAAATTAGGGATCAGGAAGGTTACTATTAGGATCTAAATGGGTCTCCTCAGGCTTCCTCAGGAGACATGACTTTGTGCCACGACAAAGAGCACAGGCAGCAAGTGGGTGAGTAGATGAGTAGTTGGGTGAAAGGGAAGGAACATTTTTGAGTGCATGCCTTGGTGAATGAGAGAGCAGGTAGGTTGGAAAATTTGGTCAGTGGGAATGAGTTAGTGGGTGAGAGGATGAATGTTTCTGGTCCTCTGTAGAAAAGTTAAACCCAGCTCAACTACACAAGTGCATTCAGATCCTCTGGAGAAACCATGTTAGGACAATTGGACAAAGTTTCCCACAAGAAAATAGGGAAGAACAGGCCATCTGCCTAGAGAGGGGACAATGCAAGCTTCCTGAAAGCAAAGTGCTGGATAAGGTGATCTTGGATGTGCAATCTCTGTTCTCAGTGAGATCCTGCTGAGGCTCTAGACTGTTAGGTAGAACAGATTTCTTTCATGAGAAACACCAGACCTTGAGAGCCTGCTATATATAGGAGAGAAGAAAGGAACACAGCTGTCCTGGTTCTTTGTTCAACCCACCCAGAGGGAGGCAGTCGGCAGTTGGGGGCAGCCCCAGTGGATTCCAAGGGTATAGTCTGGTCCTGTGAGTGCCTCTTCTCTGTGCACCCAAATTATGTATTCCCCACACCTCAGCACAGACATACAACACATGCATCCCTATAGTCTAGAGGTACTTTAGATCCCCCTCCCAGCCCACCAGGCTTCACTATACACTGTTTGCATTGTAACCTGGAGGCCAGAGAATCCATTCCCAGACAGGGTCTGAGTCTGTACCCAACCCCCTCTCCTCCCCTGCAAGACCTTCCACGAGTCAATTTGTTAGCCAGGAAAGGGGCCCTGGGGCTCCTGCTGGGTTACAGGAACCATCGTAGGGAGTTTCCCGAAGGGTAACAGGAAAGGAAATGAAAAACTGACTAGTATTAAAGACAGTCTATTTCTCCCAATTCACCTCAAGTTCCTCAAACCTGTTTTTTTGGGATTAGTCCACCAAGGAGTATACTCAGGCCTCAAACACACAAAACCTGGGGTGCTTATAAGGGCTCTCAACTGTCAAACCTCAACCAGAGTCCATCTTTTCTCCAGGCTGCATCTCAGTGCCCCAAAGTTCCAGCTAGGGGTCCTTTTTTCTAGACCCCTCAAACAGTCAAGGTTTCCTGCCTCTTCCTACCGGAACCTATTAGCCTGATTCCCCAACCTCAACCCAGCCCCCTTCCTTCAAAACCCATTCCACCTCCCAAACCTCAGATGGGGTCCCCGCTCACCATTGGGCTCTCTAGGAGCCGGGTCCCCCTCAGGGCCCCCCACTCAGGCAGAGCAGGCTCGAAGCATGGTCTCCGCAGGACCGTGCTCCGCAGGGGGTCCCCGCCTCAGCCTCCCCTTCAAGCTGAGGTCCCGCAGCTCAGTCGCTCCCCCTTGGGCTGATGACTGCCAGACTCCCTAAAAGTGCCCAAGGCTCTGCATTTGAAGTTGGCTCCACCAGGCGATAGGGGAGCTAGAGGGAGGGAGTGAAAGGGGGAGGGAAGGGGAGGGGAGGAGAGGGGAGCACTTCGGAACTGCCAGTCCTCCCCTCTCCGCCTCTTCATATCCTGTCTCATCAAGTCTTTCAGGCAGATGATCAATTAACCAGCCGCTTTCTTCGCCGCCTCCCTCAGCCAAGATCCCCTCCGGCGGACCTTCCGTTCTTGATTAAACTGTTATCGGCCAAAAGGAAAAAAGAGACATACGGGAGCGACGTGTCGGTCTGACGGGTCGGGGTGAGTTCAGCGAAGGTAGGAAAGAGCCCAAGTCGTCTTCAGCCTGGTCTGGCTGGAAGCAGAAAGAACTTAATCGCACAAGCCTTTGCTCATCCCAGCAAAGGCCAACTCCGGGAAGCTCTCGCTGTCTCTGCGTGCCCCGTACTAACTTATCAAGATCAAATAGCCTTAAGAGTCAAGAAGGTCAGAGCCTGAAGCACTCTTGAGGCCAAAACCCAAAGTTAAATTTCCGAGGGCCAGTTGCCGCATACCGGTCACCACCAACCAGAGAAAAACTCAAACTTAGGCTGCGCTAGTAACAACCATTCCAAGAGCCCAGCTGCATGGGGCGCTTGGGAAATGAGTGAGGCCAGGGCTCTGTGGGGTAAAACCGGCACCAAACTCCCCGCCTGGCCCTAATTAGAAGCCCAAAGCCAAGTTCTGTTTTCTTCCCTTTCTGATGAGACCTACGACTTGACTTGCCAAGGACTTCCAGGACAGTGAAATTAGAGGCCTGTATCCTGTGGCTCTCTGTCTGACTGAGGTGCTATCCAGTACCAATGTTCCCGGAAAAGCCCTAAGGGTCATGCTACCCTGGCTGCTGCTGCTGCTTTTGGGTTCTGTAAAATGGCTGTTTCTTATCTCCTATTAAGAAAGATTGGGCTTTCATGCAGTTCGTCCCCTATAACTCAATGGAAAGCTTTCTCCCAAAAGACTCATTTTCTGCTGATTACAAGAAAGCAAAGAGAGAATTTGTCAGCTTCCCTAAGCATCCAATGCCAGACAATGTGTATGTGACCTGACACCATCCAGTCCTGTCATGTTCTAGCAGCTTTGACCCAGCTCCCTGACGCGGGGACTTCCAGAGACCACTGTGGGAGAAGTTTGTTGCCAATCAGGGAGCACTTTCCTACTCCACAGAATCCAGGATTCCAGGCCAGAGGCTGGCCAGCACCTAATTCCTGGAAGCCGCCCACTCCTCCAAACTCAAAGCCCCAGTTTGAATAAGTGGGGGTGGGGAAGAGGTCTCTTGGCTTGCTCATCATGGTGACTTCATTTCTCCAGGTTATATTAAAAAGGTCATGATGAAAAAAAGACCTGTCCTGAAGTGCACAGACATAGCTAACACCACACAGAGCAGTTTTGTTTTTTCTCATTTCTAAAACAGATCAAGTCTTTCATACTTCCTAGAATGGTTCTTCACAGAGCACAGGAAAAAGGTTCATTCCACCTCAAGCAACTTTTCTTCAAATATTCAACAAAACCAACATCCAATCCCCCCTCCCTTTTTTTTCTCATGCACATAATCAAATGGGTGGTAAACCAAAGAAAAACCTGGTAGGCCTAGAGCTGAAACTGGCTCCAGAGCACAAATAGTAATTTCCTTCATGGAACCAGGGTTCCTAGTCTAGTCTCAGGGGCTCAGCTTCCACTTCTGCAAAATGAGTGGACTAAAAGAATATCTTAAAAGTCCCTTCCTTGATCTAATTTTCTAGGAATCTCTGAATTTATAAAGGATAATTCAGCAAAGACAAATGACTTTACCTCATCAGACAATACATCAGGGCTCCAAATTCAAAGCAGCACCTGATTCTGCTTCCTTCCACATCTATGGATTATCCACTTTCAGGGAATTATGGGGGAGTTAGAAAAGGAAACCCATTAGCTATAAATTCTATGAGCAATTGCAAACACAAGGTTTCAGATTCAAAGATGTATACTCCTCAGGAAGCTATGTACTTCTCAGCAAGAGTATAGTCTGCCAGAGAAGGATACATCTCAGCTGTTATACATCTTTTTTTTTTTCTTTAACTTGGGTCACCTCATGGTATTCATCCTTTCCTTCAGGGTTACCATTTCAGGCTAGGGTTAACTATGAGGTTATATACTACTGAACAGAGCCTAGAGCAGGCTAGATAGAGGATAAGCAGAGAGATGACTGAACAGTCTAAACCGAGAGTACAGCAGAAAAGAATCTGTAACACTGAACTCACTTTTATTTTTGGAGCTAACATTTGAGGCTTAAAAGTTCAGTTTTCCCACTGTTTCTAGAAATAATGGTAATTTCAAAAGTCAATAGCAAGTAATCAGAACAGTGTATGTAGTTTAACTGTCTCAATATTTTATGAAAACAGCACTAAATACTAAAGAGGAAATTCAAATGTGACTTAAGTGGGTGGAGGGGGGACATACAGGACACATCTCAAATGAACCATGTGCAGTGGGGAACAGATCTGAATAATTTTCTCACCAAGTATCCTGCTGTGGGTCACCACCTAAGGAAACAGGAGGCTTTCCCCTCAACTATGGATTTCTTTGTTTCTGTAAATTTATCTCTATAATCACTTAATGTACATTTGGTGGTGTGTGTGCACAGGGCCTCCAGAGAGGAAGAGATATTTCTAAATGAAATGAAAACATAAGTGAAACCTGCAAGTATACACTACCACTCCCGACATATTAAATCATCATAGATTAAATCATCTCAACATTGGGAGGAAGGAAAGAATTAAAAAGCACTTAGTTAGACTATCCAAGAGATGTAACTCTTACTCCTATGCTCTCTATATAAGCAACTAAAATGAAAAACATCAACCTGCTCATTCATGGAATTACATCTACATAATCAACAATGACTAATTATGGCCTTTGATCACATAAATTATTTTCTATAACAACATATTTTTCTTACCTAGCTCCCCAAAGGGAACACAATGAAGACTGGCAAAAAGCTGGTGATTAAACTGGCTTTTGGATTTCCATATATAAAATGATGCATATAGATTAGAATAATGGGCCTCAATGACTAGTGCAGTGCTTCACATACTAAAAGTTTAATAAATGTTTGTTGAAAAACGATCATCACTCACATTCAACTCATCCTTGAAGAAATAAGTAGAATACTTTTCCATGGAAAATAGTGCAGTTGGGGATTTTTTGTTTTAGAGTTAAGATGGTTGGAGGACTAATCAGCCATTATTTGTAATCACAAGAACAAGTTTTCCCAGGAAGGAATCCTCATTTCTCAGAACAATATGTGATTGGCAATTCTCCCTAGGAACTCACCACTGGTGTGCAAAATCTATTTCACATCTCTTAGTCTTTCCTTTCTTTATCCTGACCATCAAAAAATTCTCTTGGCAAATTAAAGATACTTCAAGCAAGTTAACATGACTTTTCCACCAGCTTTAGTACCCTGGTAAAATGAGAAATGTAAAATTAAGATGACATTCTCAATCCTAAATTAGATTATCTCTTTACATTCCCCTAAAATGGGAAGTCTGTACTTTTCAATGTCACAGAGCAAAGTTTCATATGGAAACACAGAATAGTTACAAAACTGATTAGTTTCAAAGCTATGTACTTTATGTATAGCTCATAAGACAAAGAAGTTGCTGTCCCCAAATGTTCAAAAACACTATTCTACTCCAGACAGAATTATTGTTTATCATCACAACTTACATAATGAAAAGATTCAGTCTTTTCAGGGAACCTATTTTGTGTGTTCAGCAATGAGGGCAAGGCATTTCGGCTGGGTAAATGCTGATTATAAGTAAAAAAAAAAAAATCACTTGTAAAAATGAAAAAAGCCTCTTGCTGATGGGTAAAGAACATAAGGCCACGGCAGGCCATGTCTGACAGCACCAGATAAGACTTTCCAAGAAAGGTAGACATCAATAGGGCTTGGCTTTCCTTTTTCTTCTGTTCAGCCTTGCATCAGCTCATGATCCAAGTCTAGAGGGGCCCAGGGAACTGTTACCTTGAACTGTAGCTAGAAACCTGTATCCTCATATAATTCCACCATGCACACAATTCACTGAACACATAACTGCTTTTTGTTACAGCTCTTTGAAGCAACATATTTTAAGACTTGAAATTTTGCATATTTGCTGAATGAATGAAATAACTATACGTTCTCTCTCATGTACTCTCTCACATGCTCTCTCTCTCTCTCTCTCTCTCTCTCTCTCTCTCTCACACACACACACACACACACACACACACACACACACACACTTTCCTCATGCAGGCTGTACTTACTTTGTATTAAAGCAAATGACAGTGAATTTAATTCTAAGTAAGGAATACAAGAAGGCCAAACCCTATTTTCTCCCAAACATAACACTGATTTAAAGATTCAAATGGCATAGTAACATTGTTTGCTTGTTTTTTCCCCACTGAGTTCTCCACAGTCTTGGAGATTGATAGGTTCTCAGTACATTTCTACCTATGATGAACCTGAGTTGTCTATGACAAACTTCTCTGGAGAAAACTCAGGGCTGGACAAACCCAAAAAATGGAAATGGAAGCAGAATAGGCCAGTGAAGAACAATCCAATAACAAATGATATGTTACTAAACCTGACACATAGATTAAAAAAAAAAGATTTAATAAATTTAAAGAGCAAGCTAACCCTCTTAAAAGAGATTGCTTGCCCAGCGTATCAGCACTCAAAATCCTAGTGTCTCAAAGAATACTCCTCAAGGTATGCACAGTTCATCTGAAAAGCATCTGCAGCACAGCTACTGGGAGGCCTTCCTCTATCTCCCTCCTTCTTCACCTTGGATAGCAAGACGTTACTTTTCCAGGACAGTGACAGGAATGGATAGAGCAACAGCTAGAAGGTGTTTTTAATCTTGGCTGCTACTAGCACAAGGATCTCCCCAATCTTTTTCTGCCAATTCTCAATGTCCTTGGACACTTCACACCACAGTTCCCCATGGCGGGGCTCCGCATTCTCACATCGCTTCTTGACCTCTTCCTGCTGCTCCTAGAGGAGGAACCAAAACAGCACTTTAAACAAGCATCTATCTACTTTCATCTGGAGGGTATAGCTCTAAGTCCCCCATATATTTACTCTATCCCAAACCCCAGCAAAAGCAGCCAAGGCAAATGACAAAATTTCAGTTCATAAAGGCTGTATTGTATAATTAAGGGACAATGAGTTTCCAGAAACAAGATCAAATGTTAATCAGTGACAGAGTAAAGACATGCGCTTAAATTTAGCCCTATTTATTTTCACTCTTGAAAATTAATATATGGTCAATTCTCCATCATCCACTCACTATGATGAAGGGCAGCTGAAGCAAGAATAATATAAAAAAACAAATAATCCCAAAGTCCTTTACAGTCAGCTTTGGAATACATGCTGCATTTCATTTTGCTATTTGGGGAAGTGGGGGTGGGGTTGGAGGAATATATTTGGAAGTTTAGCCAATTATTCATCTATGTTTAACTCAAGTTGAATCAAAAGTCTACCTTCCCTAAATTCAAATCACCGGAGCATACATGTAAACAGCCCAGGTAAGTGCTAGGTGGAAAGAAGTCATTCGGGATTAAAAATTTACCACAGATAATGGGATAATCAATGTGTGGATGACAGAGCTGACTCTACTGTTTATTCTTGAAATCAAACATTTTCTTCAACAGCACACAGTCCAAGTGTAAGTGGCAGGTGGAAGAGAGGGAAATAAATGTCTACTCTCCCAGGCATTTCTTAAAACTCACAACTCTTAGCACAAGCTGGACTACCTTGCACTGACTGGCTCTTCTGTCCCAAACACAAGAATGTGTCTGAGATGATTTCTTTTGGGGAGAGATCACACTAACCCCTCCCCAAAGGTGACACAGTGGGATAGGGTGATGGGCTTGTAGTCGGGAAGACTTGAGTTTAAATTCAGCCTCAGACACTGTAGGTGTGTGACTCCGGACAAGTCACTTAAACTGTCTGCCTTGGAAACCTGTAAAATGGGAATAATAATAGCACCTACAGATGATATCCATAAAAAGCTTAGGACAGTCCCTGGCACATTGTAGGTGCTTAATAAACGCTTGTTTCTTCTTCCCACATTATCCCCTCCCTAGGGGTTCATCTCTAGGCAGAGCTAACTAGCTCAGCATTTTGGACCCCTCCGAAAGCCAGATTTTATAAGGGTACTTAACAAGAAGAGAAAAGTGGGCTCAAGTCTTCATACCATCAGCTAAAGGAGTTTATAGTCAACTACTTGAAGTTCATGTCAGACAACAAGTTTTTTCCTAATATTCTTGTAATGATGGTAGTGTACAATTTGCTACCCTGGAAAAATATCTAGTGTAGCTTATCTTTCCCAAGGTAGATAGAGGCTCAGCAGAGAGCAATTAAAAATGACTAGAAATAGCACTGGCCAAGAACTCTACCACATTCTGTAATGTGTCCCAACTGCACCAACTCCTTTGGGTGACCAAGCCAATGCTAAGCAGTCATACTCGTTCTTCTAAAAAGCATCCCCAGAGCTTAGGTCAAAGAAAACTTAAACCTGATCAGGATCCAATATACTTCCACATTAGGATGCTATACTATTTACCACTGCTCATAGATCCAGGTCACAAATTAATACCCTCAGATTTCTAACTTTTGTTGTTGTTGTTATTGTTTTTTTGGTAGGCAATGGAGTTAAGTGACTTATTCAGGGTCACACAGCTAGTAAGTGTCAAGTGTCTATGGCTGGATTTGAACTCAGGTCTTCCTGAAGAATTTCCAACTTTTGGACTAAAGAATAGAGTTCTTAACCTTTTTTGTGTCAAGGACCTCTTCAGAAGTCTAGTGAAGCCTATGGACCCTTTCACAGAATAATGTTTTTAAATGCATAAAATAAAATATACAGGATTACAAAGGAAATCAGTTATATTGAAGTAATTATTTTAAAATATTTTAATGAAAAATGAAAATACTTAAATAAATGTAATTTTAAAAAATATTTTATAAAAGGTCACAGGCCCAAGGTTAAGAATCCCTGGCTTACAATATAGTCCTCAGATTTTTTTTTGGATAGATTCCTTAACCATCATTTAACAGTTTACAATCAGTCCAAGACTGCTTATAAGTTATTCTGAAATTATTTATTATGATTTATTTGTCTAGTTTTGGAGTCAATTGTTGAAAAAACAGATATAGATTCAAAACAGATTGTTAGATATGATATTTGACCTACTTATGGTACTATAAATATTTTACATTTCAATCATCACTATAGAAGGCCATTCCTTTTCTCTCATTAAAAAAAAAAAGAAAGAAAGAAAGAAAATCATGATCTAATTAGCAGCCTCTAAGCTGGTACTTAGAAAGCAAGAGCTCAAATATATTACTGAAGGGAAGGTTGCTCAGAAGCCCAGCCTTGGGTAAATTCAAGTAGTATTCATAACACACCCCAAATCACAGAATGTTAAAGAGAGAGATGGGATGGACCTCACAGAGCCTCCAGATTCCCTTCTTTTACAGAAGAGAAAACTAAGGTCGAGAGATGAAATGATTTACTCAAGAACACAAAGCAGAACCAGGACCGGGTCTCCCAACTTTAAGTACTCCAGTGCCCTCCTATTACACAATCTCAAATCACCTCATCCTTTTACCTCAAGCTAGAGAAGGGAAATGAAAAGATAAGGGAGGAACTGCAGAGCAGAGTAGCAATCCAGAAACCGTTATTGGAAAAAGCTTTCTTACCTCTGTACCATGTTGTAATTCAAATTTGTAGAAGAAAGCCCATGCATCCCCCAGGTCTGAATCAATCTTTACTGTTCGGTGGAACCACTCCCTGGCCTTGGTGATCTTACGTTCACTCCAAAACAGTCTATGGCAGAGAACAGAAAGAAGTAAGAGTGAGATGGACATCATTTCCAGCATACGCTCATTTGGTGACCACAAAGTTGTATAGAATCAACAGGGTTATGTGCTCCAAGCAGGAGAGTAGTACAAGCTCTGACACAGAAAAAAAGCTAGTTTTATTTTTAAAGATAGGGGAATCTACAATCTCTCTGGATTACCAACCATAATTTTCAGAAAGTTCTTCATTGTGTCGAGACAAAATAAATTGTTTCTCAAAACACAAGAGCCAGATTTTCAAATCCTAACGAATGGTCATTTTTCCATGGGTCAGACAATGAAAATACAAAAATGAATACTCATAACTGCATTAAATCCATGATATTACCAAGTAAGGGACAAAAAGAAATCTTTGTGGAAATTAACCTCAATTAAGGGACTTCCTGGATGTTCCTGCCTTGCCCAGTCTAAAACAGAGCTATGTGCACTCACTCTATTAAAGACAGAAATTTCCTTGGAAGAAAGCTGATGCTGTCCATTAATGCCAACAAACACATCACGTTTATGAAATCTTTGAGATTAAAGTGTCTAAAGGGTCTTTATTTCCTATTCTGTACCTGCAAAACCCTACCTGTCACCCAACTACAAAACTACAAAAATTGTAAAGAAAAACAAAGGGGAAAAAATTAAAAGGAATTGGTAAACTGGGGTGCTAAGACAACAACAGGGGGTTTCAATTATATTTGCTAAAATTCAAAAATTCTGTCTCTAGATTAAGCCATAACCAGCTACAAATCAGAATCAGACTGCACTACAGTCTTGTTAGACACAGGTTCAAAGGGACACCACATCAAAGAAAATTCAGTAGGAACCTTAAAGCCACTACCCCAAGTCAGATGGGGGACCACTACAGTTATATCCACGTCCAGGGCAGGTCTAATTTAATTTTCCCTCTCTGGCTATAGCTACCACTGTGCAAATATTTTATGGGCTTGGTTTCTGCACATCAAACAGGGCTCAATTATGCCAGTCAATTTCTTATGAATAAGGTGACTGTTTTGGCTGGTACAAGTTACTAAATGGTATAATTTCATGGCCTGATAACATGATTGTTTTTTAAGCCTTATGGTTCTGTTAATTGCTTAGTGTTAGATAAACTGTGATTTAAAGAGCATGAACCCTGATAATAGAGATACAAAACACCACCATGGGAACAGCTAGGAGTAACTTATTTACTTTAACCAAAGCCTTTTACAAGGCTATTATAGTTATCCCTATCAGACTGTCATATATGAAAGTCATTAGAGGCAGTGGAAGGACACGAGCTGGATTTAGTTGTATAACTAAAGAGGTACAAGTTGGACCAAGAGGGGGTCTGGAAAAAGTCTTTTCCTTTGCTGACTAAAGTGAACTTGTCACATTATCTGTCAGTCCTCTGGCAATCCACAGTGCTGAAGCCACTAGAGCCTGTGAGGCCTTATTTGCTTTGGCTTGGAACAGATTGTGAAAGAGCTGGACATTAATTTCCAGTCTTCATCTATTAAATGCTTTTGGCACTAAAGAGAAAAATGAGCAAGAGGGTAGTTGGCTGTATTCACTGCAAACCAAAGCCAGTCATGCTCTGAAATAGAAGCCATTAGAAAGTCACTGTAGGGGCCAGGAGAAAGCAGGGGGCAAACTTTACCAAAGGAAACTTAAGTTCAAAAAAAAGGACCTGACCAGTTTTTAAATACACTAAGAAGAAGAAATAGGGAAAGGGGAATTTTCATCAAGCCTAATTTCAACATTAGTATATGCTACTTCAGTCTTTCAAGTAAATCATATCAAGCAAATGGGAGGCCAGGGTCAAATTAATGACCAATGAACATCTCCCTGCAAGAGTTAGGCCACCAACCTAATGGAAACAAGTGTATCTTTGCTGAAGACTTACCACTCAAAAGTTTTCTAGTCAAAGTCTTGTAAGAAGCTTTGTGTATGTTGTAACTAAGTCCATATCTTAGAAAATAAAATGGGCAAAGTAACAGGAGCTGTAGTGGAGTAGGACAAGGTAACTATCTGACTCCCTAAAGAAAGAGAAACTTTAAAGGGAAACAGAGATCCTGCAAGAGGGAGATTTCATTCACAGACTACTGGACAACCAGAGTTGTGCTTCCAAGATGCCCAATCAGCTTTAGTCAGGGAAAAACCAACCAAACCTCCAAAGAGAAAGTACAGTCTTCCTACAACATGAGAAAAGATCTACTCAGAAAAACATATTCCATGTACATTTAGGGAAGGACGTAGGGGAAAAACACTTAGAAGAAAGGTCTTTCCACATACCCTGCTTAACTTAATAAAAATAAAAGGCTTAAGTCATGAAGATTATAGCAGTTCTGAATCTTCTTTATCATGGCAGAATCACAAAGGATATGAAGACTAAGGATAAAAGAGAAAAATAACCTCACTCGGAGAGTAACTTAAGGAGAAACTGAAGAATTTTCTTCCCTAGGGAACTTGCGAAACTAAAATGCCTGCAACTGTCCAGGGATAATCAACAAAATCATTATCTGATTAGATGAACGGGCCTGGAAAAGATTACTAAAATTACGTATTAAAAATAAAGCCCCACAACAAAGCACACATCTCTCTAAATGAGCAAGCAGATTCTATTAATCTATAGTCTTGAGTTGGAAGGGACCACATCAATCATCTAATTCCAATTCACATCATCATCACCACCCCAAATCACTAATATAAATATACCTGATAAGTAGTTATCCAGTACAAGGGTGCTTGAAGACCTCCAATGAGGGGATACTCAGCATCCCCTCAAATGGGTCATTTCACTTTGGGATAGTTCTTACTGTTATAGGCAGTTTTCCCTTGACATTAAGCCTAAATTTGCCTCGTTCCAACTTCCACCTAGTTTTGTACACTTTAGCCAAGCAAAACAAATCTAATCCCTATTCCACATAATAGCCTTGATATAATTAAAGACAGGTATCATGTCCCCCCCTCAGCCCTTCCTTCTTCAGGCTAAATAACCCCAGATCCTCCTAGCTACCCTGCAATGGCATAAACCTGAAACCTATGCTACATTAAAGACAGGAATTTCTTGGAAGAAAACCAATGTTGTCCATTAATACCAACAAACCCATCATGTATATGAAATCTTTGGGGCTAAAGTTCCCAAAAGGTCTTTATTTCCTGTTCTGTATCTGAAAAGCCTTACTAGTCACTCAATTACATAACTACAAGAATTGTAAAGAAAAGTAAAGAAAAAAATAAAAAGGAATTGGTAAGCTGGGGTGCTAATACAATCACAGTTGTATTGTTTAGCCCTTTCTTCTTAAGGCTAAATAACCCCAGTTCCTCTTACCTATCTTCCAATGGCATAAGCTTGAAGCCCTTCAACAATCTAGTTGTCACCTTTGGGATGTTCCACAGAGTTCTATCAATATTCTTTCTAAAATATGATGCAAAGAACTAAACACAATATTTCAGATGTGGTCTCACCATAATGAGACTACTGCCTCCTTATTCCTGAAGCCTATGCCTCTCTTAACACAGTCACACAGTACTCTAAACATGTAAAAAGAAGAGTTACTCACTTAGCCACAGCTAGCAGGACATGGGGGTCATGTTCACACTTCTTCAGGGCATCTACACTCTTGGTCTTCCTCTGGGGTCTTGCCTCAAGGAAAATCGCTTCTGACCACAGGATGCCTAGAATTCAAACAAAAAGAATCCAACCACTGGTTATCTCAAGGATCCAACTCCTAATTTTAAAAATTCCATAACAAAAAGTCCATTTAAAATAAATGTAATATTTCCCAAATAGAAATCCATAAACAAATGTACTTGATCTTAAATTTCGCAACTTCTGAACCTCTGATATATGTAACAATTTGGTATGCTTATGCAACATCAACCAATCAATAAACATTTACTAAGTGCCTACTATGAGCCAGGCAATTTGCTAAACTATAAAAAGAGGCAAAAAACAGTCTGTGCCGGGACAGCTAGGTGGCACAGAGGATACAGCACCAGCCCTGAAGTCAGGAGGACCTGATTTCAAATCCGGCCTCAGACCAGACACCTGACACTTACTAGCTATGTGACCCTGGGCAAGTCATTTAACTCTGTCTTTAAAAAAAAAAAAGTCTGTGCCCTCAAGTTTACCAAGCAGACAACATGCAAAAAATACATATACAAAAAAAAGCTAAATGCAAGACAGATAGGAAATAATTAACAGAAGGGAGGCACTAGAATTAAGAGGGGCAGGTGAAAGCTTCCAGTAAAGATGAGATTTTAATTGTGACTTAAAGGAATCAAGGAAGATTAGTAGTCAGAGCAGAAGAGGAAGAGCATTCTAGGCATAGGGGACAACAGGGAAAATGCCTAGAACTGAGAGATAGAGGGTCTCGTTCTTTGAACAGCCAGGCGCCCCGAGTCACTAGATCAGAAGAGTACATATGCAGGTGTAAGAAGACATTTTCCTACCTTTCTATGACAGGAGTGGGCTAGAAGGGATTTGAATGCTATACAGAGCATTTTGTATTTGACCCTAGAAGGGCTAGGCAAGCGACTGGAGTTTATTGATGGGGGCAGGAGAGGGGCCTCTGCAGGTGGAGGGGACCTGCACTTTAGGAAAATCACTTTAGTGGCTGAATGCATTGGAGTGGGGAGAGAGGTTTGAGGCAGGCAGAATCAACAGGATACTGAAATAATCCAAGTGTGAGGTGATCCCCAAAGGCCTTTATCAGAGTGCTGGTAGTGTTGAAGGAGAGGAAGGAGCTTATTCAAGAGATGTTGCAAAGGTGAAATTGATGGACTTTGGCACCAACTGGATATGGGAGGTGGGGGAGGGGGGGCGTTTAAGAGAGTGAGGAATCCAAGATGACTCCTAGGTTGTGAGCCCAAAGGACTAGGAGGACGGTTTTCCCCTAGGCAGAGGGAATTTAGGGACAAAGATAACAAGTTCCATTTTGGACATATTGAGTTAAAGATATCTACTGTACATTCAGTTAAGAGATGTCTTAAAGGCAGTTAGAGATGTGAGATTGGAAGTCAGCAAAGAGTTGGGGCAGCATAGATAGAATTGAAAATCATTAGCACAGAGATGATAATTAAATCCATGGGACATGAGATCACACCCAGATGGAGACCTACAGTTAGAGGGCATGATCTGGAAAAGGATCCAACAAAGACAGAGGAGACGTCAGATAAAATTTGGAAGCTTAAAGTTTATTTAAAAGAAAAAGTCCTTTTTGGTGATCAGAAATTATATAAATTCAAGAAGACATGAAATCATCCTACTTCCCCTTCCTGAGGCTAAGAATTTATTTCAAAGAAAAAGTATCACCTTAGAGAGTGACAAAGACAATCTCTGTCATCTAAAAATATACGACATGAAAATAAAAGCTTCAGTTGTACTATAATGCAACATAGTAGAGAGCACCGACTGACTAAAGAATCTTGAGGATTTAAATCTCAGCTCTGACACTAGCTGTATGACCTAGAGCAAATAAATCGCTTAACAGTTCTAAGTGTCAATTTTCCTCATTTTAGGATCACAAGGTTCTGGTAAGGAATTCAAGGAAACAGGGACAAAGTGAGGTTAAGCAACTTGTGCAAAACCACAGAATTAGTAAGTAGCAAAGCTAGGATACAAAGCCAGGTTTTCTGACTCCAAATAAAGCAATCTTTTTACTACATTGTATGCCAATGTACAACATGTAAATGTACACTTTTTAAAGTTTAAATGTTATATGAACAAAAATTATTTCAACCCAAGACACCTGATAGAACATGGGCCTACTCCAGGTAGTTGTGCAACCAAAGAATCCTACTTTTACATTGATGGATCTGAGATTTCTTTGGTATGGCCACTCCTCTTCATACCTTCACATTACCTGTAAGTTTTCGGGGGGTTTTTAAATTTTTTTTTAATCATCCACTCTCTGCCTTCTTAATCTCCCAAACCCCAACCTCCAAATGAGAATACCAAAAAAACAAAAGCAGCTCTTTCTGTGGCAGTAGCAAAGGATTGGAAATTGAGAGGATGCCCATCAACTGGGGAATGGCTGAAAAAGTTGTGGTATATGAATGTAACGGAATACTATTGTGCTATAAGAAATGATGAGCAAGCAGACTTCAGAAAACCTGGAAAGACTTGTATGAACTTATGCTGAGTAAAATGAGCAGAACCAGTACACAGTAACAGCCACGTTGTGCAATGACTAACTTTGATAGACAAAGCTCTTCTCAGCAATGCAAGGATCTAAGACATCTCAGCATCGGTGCATGTAAGTCTTTCCAGGTTTTTCTTTTTCTTTTTCAATTTTTAAATTAATTAATTTATTTTTAGTTTTCAACATTCACTTCCATCAGCTTCTGAGTTTTTTGGGTTGTTTTTTTTTTTTTGGCTAGGCAATGAGGTTAAGTGACTTGCCCAGGGTCATACAGTTAGCAAGTGTTATGTGTCTGAGGCTGGATTTGAACTCAAGTCCTTTTGAATCCAGGGCCAGTGCTCTATCCACTGCGCCATCTAGCTGCCCCAGCTTTGAATTTTAAATTTTCTCCTCTTTCCTCCCCTCCCCAAGACGGCATGCAATCTGACATAGGCTCTACATATACATTCTTATTAAACATAGTTTCACATTAGTCATGTTGTAAAGAAGTATTAGAACAAATGGGAGGAACCACGAGGAAGAAGAAACAAAACAAAATAAAAAAAGAGAGAGAGAGAGCAAATAGTATGCTTTGATCTACATTTCAGACTCCATAGTTCTTTCTCTAGATGTGGATAGCATTTTCCATCATGAGACTTTTGGAGATGTCTTAGATCACTGCATTGTTAAGAAGAGCTAAGTCTACCAGAGTTGGTCTCATGATGGAAAATACTAACCACATCCAGAGAAAGAAATATGGAGTCTGAATGCAGATGGAAGCATACTATTTGCTTTTTTTTTTCTTCCTGTTTTGTTTCTTCTTTCTTGGGGTTCCTCCTACTGGTTCTAATTCTTCTTCACAACATGACTAATGTGAAAATGTTTAATGGGAATGTACATGTAGAGCCTATATCAGATTGCATGCCATCTTGGGGAGGGAGGCAGGAAGAGGGGAGCGGGAGAAAATTTAAAACTCAAAAGCTTATGGAAGTGAATGCTGAAAATAGAAATAAATTAATTAATTAAAAAAAAAACCTATTGGCTCTGATTCTTATAATCGAGCCACTGCTCAGATTCTTATAATCTAGCCAATAGCTCACAGGTGCTCAGATTCCTTAAGAGTCTGGCTAATATGACAGATCTTTAATAAACCTTGTGCTTGGCTGAAAAAAAAAAAACCCTATTACAAACACTATACAGTCAATCAAGGCAAATTTCCACACTGGCTATGTCCAAAAAGTATTTGTCTCATTCTGCATCCCGAGTTTTCCATCTCTCTAGCAGGAAATTGGTAGCATGTTTCATCATTAGTCCTCTGGAATCCTGGTTGGTCATTATACTGATAAGAGTTCAGTGCAATAGTATTCTGTCACATTTATATACCACCACTTATTCATCCATTCCCCAATTTATGGACACCCCTTCAGGTTCCTATTCTTTGCCACCTCAAGAACAGCTATACATATTTTTGTACATTCTGAGAGTTTGTTTTGTTTAGGACTAATTCCTCCCTTAATCTCCCTGCCCATCTAATTTTCCTTCCCTCCTTCTGCCCTTTTCCTCTTATTTCCCTGTAGAGTAAAATGTAATTTTGTACCTATGTGTATGTGTTGTGGGTGTGTACACTTCCCTTTGACCAATTCAGATGAGTGCGGTTCAAGTGTCAGCCACTGCTCCCCACTCCCTTATTTGTCTAGATGTCTGCTTGTGCATATCCGTTCAGTAAAATAACTTTGTCTAACACTCCTTTCCCTTCCCTCTTCACTTTCTGTTTTTCTCTTAAGATCATCAAGACATAAGAGAACCACTCCCAGACCTTATCTAATTGGATTCTCTGTATGAACCTGATGATGACAAGGTTCAAAAGAGACCCAGGTATCATCTCCCCATACCTGAATGTAAATAGCTTATTTTTGTTTAATCCTTTGTCACTGTTCATTTGTGTTTACCTTCTTATATTTCTCTTCATTCCTGTGTTTAAATCAAATTTTCTCCATCATTCTGGCCTTTTCTATCACGAAAGCTTGGAAGTCCTTTAAAGACTTTAAAACCCTTTTTTTTTTCCTGTAGCATTACACTCAGTTTTGCTGGGTAAGTTTTTTTAGCTATAAGCCTGTATCTTTTGCTTTCTGCAATATCATATTTCAAATTTCTAAATCATGTGTGATCCTGATTGTGGTTCCTTTATATCTGAATTCTTTCTTTTTTTTAAATTTTTTTTTGTTACATTTTAAGTTCTGAACTGTCTCCCTCCCTACCCTGCAACAGACTACCATTTAACACAGATACATATAGACAAACAGACAGATAAATAGATAAGATAGATAGATATAGACATATATGTTAAATCACCCTATGAATACTTCTATTTATCAGTTCTTTCTCTGGAGGTAGATAGCATCTTCTTTCATAGGTCCTTTGTAGTTGATTTGAATATTAGTCGTTATATTAGTCAAATATTAGTCAAACAAGTCATTCACATTCATTCTTCCAACAATATTGCTGTTACTGCATACAAAGTTCTCTTGGTTCTGCTCATTTCACTCATTATTC